TTAGTGTTAATGGAAAAGTTACATTGATCTTGCTTAGATTTTTCATAGTAGAAGTTTGTGGCTATGGTTTTCATATTGGAGAATATGCATGCATATATGCAGTTCCACAATCTAGTGGAGTTTTTTATTTCTTACGTTACCATTAAGTACAACATCATCATTTTGGGGGTTCTGTAAAGAGCACCTTCACTTGCTTGTGCTTGTGCATTGCCATCCAAAGAGATGTGACAACCACTATCCCAAAGAAGCAGTTGTTCCAGATTATCAAAAATTTATTGGTTGATTGTAAGATTATGGTAAGATACTTCTATCAGAAGTTCTAACCTTATGAAAGACCATATCCATTTATGTATTACTTTGTCATTTTTTGATTTCTACAAGGTGAGACTAGACGTGCTCTCATTTTAATTCCTTTATAGAAAGAAAGGAAAAGGATACTGGTAACACTCATCTTACTTAGTTTTGTTTTCATTTTATTTCACAGAAACCCTGAATCCTAGTGACTTTCTTAGAAACGTGTTCATACGATGATTATATTCAAATACATTGTGTATAAAATTTAGTGCTGGAGTGTGTGGAACTTTTTTTTTAATTGAATACCATCAGTTACAATGTGTCAGTTTCTGGTATACAGCACAATGTCCCAGTCATTCATATATATGCATATGTTTGTTTTCATATTCTTTTTCATTAAAGGTTATTACAAGATATTGAACATAGTTCCCTGTGCTATACAGAAGCTTTTTTAAAATCTATTTTTATATATAGTGAGCATATAGAACTTTTGCGTGAAAGCATTTATTGAAAATGGCTTAGCATTCAATTTTAGGTACTTCAGTTTAATATTATAAGTTGCTAACATTGACTTAGTACTTTCTGTTGAATTTCTTTTGAGGTAGGCACAAAAACAGTATGTTATTATTTTTATCATAGAAACTAAGAAATTGAGGCACAGAGTTTAAGTAACTCTCCCTGTTTGTAGTGGGGCCAGGACTAGATCCTAGGCAGCCTGACTCCATAGTCTGTCCTCACAGCCAATTTCCCATGCTGTGTTTCCATTTAACCACTTTTAGGGCATGTATTGGTTGCATTCATAGTTTGCTTTACTTAGAACCTATGGAGTTTAAAAATCAGGGCTTTTTGTTTTGGATAAGCCAACAGTGTTCTCCTTTGCCTTTTTTATATTGTGAGAAGTTAGCTCTTTCCATCTCTCCTTTGTCTTCTGTTCAGAAATTTGAAATTTACACTGTGGAGTGAAACAACCTCTGTTCTTCTGTTTATGAATGTATCTGTGAAAGAATACGCAGGAAACGGTTTATTGTTAGCATCCCCAGCATTTACTGGCTCATTATTCTACCAGTTGAGGAGGTAGAAATGCATACTTTTCTCAGCATCTGGAACCACGTGGCTTAATTTATAATTTTGGCTTCTTGACTAACTAGCTTTATGAGAATGGGCAAATTGCTTGAATTCTTTAACCCTGGTTTTTTCATTTATAAAATGGGGTTGATGGTAGTATCCATCTCACAAGATTATTATATGGATTGAATCCATTTATGGTGCTTTGCAAAGTGGCTGACATGTCACTGCTTACTAAATGTTAGTAGTTATTATAAAAATATTGATTGATAGTTATAGTGGTATGTTTGGTTTGGAACCAGGACCTCAAATAATACTCTGCGTTTGGTTGGCGATGTTTCTAAAATGATCATTTCTTACAGTTGTCTCATCAACATATGACGACTCTCTTTTCTGTATTCTTTCTGTTTCATAGTCTCTATTCTTTTATACCATAAAACATCAAGCGTTAGCCAGTTTTATTCTGTATTTACTCTCCTCTCTTGAAGTCTGCCCTCAACTTCTCTTGTACTTGTGTATAATTGCACATTGGGGCTTTCTGGAACTACCACCATTGTTGAAAACAGCTCTTCTGATTAGCAGGCTATGTATGAATTGTCTTTAGCGATTCTGAAGCTGCTTTGTGAGAAATCTATACACAGCAGGATTCCTATAAAACTCCATAAGCTTACATCTATAAAAAAGCACTTTAAATTGTAAAACATGAATACTTTTCAAATACATGTTTCACTCTTCTTTTAAATATGTTCAACTTACAGTCCTTGAATTGTGTTCAAATTAATGATGAAATAATTTTTATCTTTTCTTTATTTAAAAGATCTAACTTTTCTAATAAATTGAGTTTAGAATGGAGTAAGTTTTGATTCTAATGTAAACTGACGTTGATATTAGGGCTTATTTATAAATCTTATAAATAAATTATATATAAATATATAAATTAGGGCTTGAGAAGGTGGTCAGGCTTCTGGTTCTGAGGTTGCAGACATGAATAAAGTAGATTGTGGACTTTCAAAGATAATTATATTCACAGGGGCAAATAGAACTTAAAGTGATATATGGAAAGAATGAGAAGCTGTTTCTTATTTTCGCTGTCATATTCGAACTCTGCAG